CCTAGTCATAACTCCTAACGCCTGGCCAAAACTCCTAATCATAACCATAACCCCTAACCCCAACAGCATTGTGTCCACCATGTGGGGCTACATAATCACGCCCTACCTGAAAGGCATTCGTCATATCTGCCTTTCCAAATAATGTGATCGATGCGAAATCGCAACATATCTCATTGATCATGGTCAATATTTATGGCCACTTTTGGCGCGTAAATGAGGTGTCCACGCGCTAGTTTGTTTTCGCAGACTTTCTCCTTCATGCTGTTATCATTTATAAGTACTGGACGTGGGCACCGATGCTGATTACAAGTTTCTTCCGCTGCATGAAGCCCACGTTGATATGAGCTGATTTGTTGGCTCTGTTTGAGAGGAGCAATGGCTTTCATAAGCTCTATTCGATGGACGCGAATACAACTCAAAGGCCACGGTGTTACTTCTGGTGGTCGACGGCCTAGAGTATGATATAACCTGCACCAGCGTCATTCACCTGTCCTTATAATAGCAAGTGGACATTTCAATGCGAGACTAATTTCGTCTTCTCTTGAGTCAGACTTTGGATAAGAACTTTCCATCTTTCTGAATGACTGACCGGTGGATTGTTTAAAAGAGCGAACATATTTTATGTTGACAGATTAAGTGAAAGCAAATTTCCTGAAAGAGCAGTGAGTAGGAATAGAGGTTATATTTTCAAATAGTTCGTTTACTTAAGTGTTTCGTGTTCAGCCGGCGAGCTTTGTTTACAGACGACGTAATTAGTGCTTCTTTGGGTAAATTTCCTAACACAATTTCGTTAATGAGACAAGGGTGGCTTTTATTTGAAGGGCTGCCCAGACAAGCCAGGTAAATGCTGCGTTCTAGCATGGGTCGAATACTGCATAAAAACGCTCTCTGTGTTTAGTAATAAGCTTAGACGGTTGTAAATAGGAGGCGGAAACTCGCAGCAGACATGATTTACTACCCATATCTATGCACAATAAATGCAACCCGCACCTTTTTTCTACATATGGGGCCTTATTCTATAGTGAAATTCGCATAAGGCATGTTGACCTGATTTGTTTGGGCAACCGAAACGACTTCCATTGTGACTTTTGCGACAAGCACGGGTTCGTTAAGTATTTGGTGGGAACAGAGTGTTAAGTTGGTTCTAAAGGTAGCAAGCGCAAATTAAGGCGAGCCATCCGGGAAATTGGCACTCCCACGAAATATATCCAATTCCATGGGACTCCATAGGTTATGATTTAATCATTGTCATAGATGGTATTTTGCGTCGGGGAGAATAAGGGACACAGTTTATGCCTAATGAAATAAATAATTTATAAAGGGAATTTTGAGTTTGATAAAGAATGCAAAGTTTGCAAAGAATACATGGAAAGCTGGAGGAGATTTTAGGAATAAAACAGTGCTATAAGGAAGGAAATAAGTGCAGGGCAAGCAGTTCAAAAATCCATCTCGACCCTGCCAGCAGTAGTCCCACTAAGCCCCGTCAGTTTCGCGGTGCCGTATGGGGCTACGATGGGGTTGTCAACGGGCCATCAACCTCCGGCAGCTCTTCTGAAAAGGCGCATAGGCGCCGCCACGTTTTCGTCGTTTCTCGCTCAATCATAAAATAGCGACAACTGAATAACTCTTAAGTAGGGCACAAAGAAATACCCTAACGCCTTAGTAAATGTAAACCAACCGTATGAAGTCATATTAGTTCATAAGAGAACGTCCCACGCGGAACCTACCCTCTCAAGACCTAGAAAAATGAAAACGAATTTATGAGAAGAGATGGCTTATTGGAAATGATAAAATTATGAAACTCCTACAAAAAATATGTGGAATCATAAGAGTTCTCTGCCAAGAAATACCAACCACAAAACTTCCGCTATAACAGCTAGTTCCCATAACTGAGGAAAACCGTTAGTGACAAAGGCAAATTAATGCTATATTTGTTGGCATAGATTATAAAAAACCTTTAATGACGCGTGCTTCCAGATGAAAATGAAATTTTGGAAAGTTTTTACTAGAGGAAACCTCGACAAAGACGGTAGATACCAGTTATTATAATACAAAATATTAAGGCGAAAAAAGTTACCGCGAAGGGTATACAGGAAATAACATATATAAATATGTAAAATAGAAGGCTCTTCGGAACGGATATTCGATCAGGTTTGCAAAAAATTGTCTTAGACGTTAGCGACACCCACAAAATCTCGATGACAATGGAGGGAAAGTGTCGCAGAAATTTCATTTCCTGTCTTATATTAAGGGAGCTTCTGAATCAATCGCTCGACTATTAAAATGCTTGGACATCTCCATCGTCTACAGGTCCGCTTCCTCTCTACTCCCAACGGTGTATCAAATAGAGGCCCTCATCCTCAAAGAGCTACTATTAAATATCACTGATCACATCAGATGCACTAACAGCCATTTTGTTTACGTTGGCTGATCAGGTCAATGTCTTGGGGCTCGAATATACATGCATAAGTGACCCCTGTCCCTCAGATTCATGCACTACCTTGAGTGTGAACGTCGCTTCAGTTGGTACGATAATGAAGTGAGCGCAATGACTAACACCAAACAAGCACGGGAACCCCTCGAAGATTGGCATTCTAAGATGACCAACATCAACCGCCATGTCGATCTGAACGCCCACCACGAAGGCCTGTCAGCACGACTCACTGGGCCCTGTCCTCATGCCGCATCGCAAACTGTTGAAAAGTTGCGCATATCGCATAGACAGCATAAAGTTTATTAATGGTATTTACTGTGTAATCAGAGGTGACAGTGACGAGCAAGCTTCTGAATTGTTAGCCAGCTCGAGAAAGTAAATAGATTTTTGGGAATAAATCCGCTCAAAATGTTTTACCTTCCCACCGGCGTACCGGTGTTTGTCATTGCCACTGTGCCGGTCTCTAGATCCGTGGAAATAGTCAATTGCCGTCTTACACACAGCTTCCGCAAGACATTTGTTAGACCTGGTGCTGCAGTTGACGATTTTTGCATGTGTCAAACAAATTAGACATGCCAAATATGACAATGTGTTATAGACAATCAACAAACGAGAGTTCCTCTATAGAACCGCCCCGAAAAAGCTTAGGTACTGAGGTTTTCCGTGCATGCCAGTCAAGAGGTTCACGTAAAAATCCTTCTTGCTCCGCACGCTTACTATAATTAGTTGTGTTATCTTGAAGTTCATTATCTTGCAAAGTAGATGAACAGGAAAAAATGGCAACCTCACGTACCTTATTACATTTATATTGTCTTTTCGGAAACTCACTTTGTCTGATCGCTTGTGGTCACCACTTATTCGGTCTTGCCGTCCATCTGATATCATAGCGCTGCGCTACACACGGACTTTGACCTGCCGTTTGTTGCAGGAGAGTTTTTACACCTCAAGCGTTGACCGCTGTCGGCCTTGCATGACATTTATCTGCTTGTGGACCGTCCTAGTTGTAACGAAGACAGCGCAAGTGGTGGTCTCCCCCATGTCAACAAACGGCCTGATCAGTCGTTGCCATTCACGCGAGTTGCTTTCTGTTTCGCGTGTGCGTCGGTGAGGCCGTGTTGGATGTTGGCATCGTGAACTCCATACTTCCGTGAGTGCCGAGTATGGGTTCAGCATGTTCTGCTGTCCTACTGATCCAAACCTCTTATACGGCGCCTGGTGGACAAGATGCAGGTTTACAGCTCCTGTGTTCAGCAGAGACGTAGAGCTCTTAAAAGTTGCTTAAATGGACCCATCCTCTCCTTCAAAGGTGAAAACTTGGTCCATCTCTTTGACATGACCATAAATCGAGGAGAGCTTGTTATTGAGATTGATTGCAAGTTAGTGTTCGCGCAGTCTTGTGATAAAGAGTCTATCCTCTCCACTAGCACACCTTGCTTTGCAATTTTAGCATGACATTTTGTAGACCTCTGCTGATTGTTATGTTAGTGACAACGGGTCTTTTGGCCTCATGATCTGCTGCCTAATTATTGATTCCGGTTTACCAGCCAAACCAAATGTGAATAGTCTTAGGACTACTGTCGTCGACTCTGAAAATATCTTCATATAGGAAACTGAGAGCCAGAACTTCGGGTCTTCTCTGCCCGCCCGCCCAAAATGAGGCTTCCGGAAGCAGTTGCAAATAAAAAATTTTTGGATAACCGTTAGCGTTAACTAGGGCGTGTAAAAAAATCATTTCCTCCTTTCTCTCGCTATCGCCGCTACAGTGTGCCTGAATGTGTTGGAAGCGGTTCTGACACGACTGTACTTATGACCTACATGGTGGTTTCTTCTGCAGTGTAGGATGCACCTAGCGTTAGTCGTCTTACAGTAGGCGGTTGTTCTTATATTCCCGTATGCCAATTTTGTTACTTGGACGCCATAAATCATCATTTAATACAACCTCATTACTAATATTAGGCGAGTGGTACAGACTGAAAAGCCCCATCTATCTATCCACCTCATGCAAAAGAAGAACCAGTTACACTTTGGCTAATTCTTGACCTACAAACCATCTGAGATGTTCGTGCTTGCTGAAGTATTGGTGACAGTGTTGGTCACTAAAACCGCGGAACTCGGACAGTCGCGCTGGCGGACATACTGCGGCGTCCAGAAAAGTTGGGAGCTATTTGGAAATTGAAAAGTAAAAATTAGGATGCGGACAATAAACAAAAATACATTAGGCGTAGCAAAAGCGCCTGCAAACGGGCGAAAAACTAACATGGCCAGCAAACTATGAAACTGTAGAAAACGGTTACGCAGAAGGAAAACTCATGCAAATCAATACACTTTTGAATGAAGAATTACGCCAAAACCACTAAGACTTTTGGCACCATCCTGTGCTAAATTCCATTTTGACAATTGGCAGTCAAACGAGAAGGGGCGTTTAAACGTTTAGGAAAGGGAATATTCTCAATTTCGGTGCATTGGATTCGTAGCATTCGGTGAAATTGATCCCCTTATCTAAAAGTTCGTACAGTGGGGGCAGAAAGCGCTGATTTCCGCGCCTGTCGTCTGTTGTACCGTGGCTATGGCATCGGACGTCGTCTTGCAGGCAAATGAATTGAAGTCGAAGGCAAATGAATACTTTGCAAGTACACTGTAATTTCATCTTTCTTCTATTCTCTAGGCGGTGATTATACAGATGCTATCGCCTACTACTCAAAAGCCATCGAACTTCATGAAACTGCTGTCTTTTTCGCTAACCGCAGCTTCGCCTACTTAAGGACAGAAATGTTTGGGGCTGCCCTGGAGGACGCTTCAAAGGCCATTAGTCTTGATGAAAATTACATTAAGGTTTTTCTCGGACTTGTTCGAAAATCCCTTAGGGCTATTACCGAAGAGCTTCGGCCAACATGGCTATGGGTCACTATGACAAAGCACTTCGCGACTTCGAAACTGTGAGTTCAGCATTTGGACTGATATTAAAATAAACAGTTTTGACGCCCATTATTTGCATCTGGTCACTTTCTACGCTTCCTGTTTCGCCATTTGTGACTGTGTTCGCTCCGTTTTGTCAGGATTTTTGCAGGTGGCCGCGTGGTTGCAAACAAGTGATATATGCATATATATTCATTGGAAAAAGTAAGAGACTGTAGTGGCAGTTTCTGACTTATTTCCCTGATACCATTTTATTGGCCTCTGTCTAGCTAGCATCTATTTCGTGGGTCAGTGGTTCGAGTGCCGCAGCGTCCGGCCGTAATGCTAGACTACCAGTTAACTCGGACCAAAATCTTGTATGCCCGCCTGTGGTTGGGGTGTAAAATGTAAGCACTTTAGGTTCTCGTATCGTAGGACTTTTCCTGGTTTGGGTCCTGTGCTAAAATCTTCGTCTAGTACATTCCTCCTGTAATTTTCCTTTGTCATTGTAAACGTCCTGCACGGTAATAGTTCAATAGAAAATACGTAGAAGGGTGAATAGCTTATTTGAGATAGACACGAGGTAGTTTTGAAAAAGGGACATTCAAACCCCCGACAGGGGTCCAGAACGTTCTAAGTTTGGAGTCGAGGGAGTTGGAGTTAGAAGGTCTACTTTGCACTCCCACTGCAACAAGATACAGCGCGCCCTGCGTCACTTTTCTGCGCAAGTTAATCCCTGTCCTTGGTTTAAACACGGTTCAGCTCACTCGCTACAGGCGTATGTCTTGCTGATAGCGACAAATAAGTCAGAAGACGCCGTTTATATCTCTGTCGTGCTTATCAGCATTATCGTCACGGTAATACTATCTCGTACGGTTTCTGTTATCGGTTGCCTTGCGATACTGCTTGGTAACCGGACTTTTATCTTTGGCACTCACTGTTTTTGAAAGTTAGTTTATTTAATGTTTCGATGTTCTTAATTTCAAGTACCATTCAAACATATTTTTCGAGATTCAAACTGCTGTCAGGGGCGTTAACTGGACGTCCGAGTGTTTTTAATGTATGGGATGAGTTTACTGTGCAAACACAACTGATTGGATTTATCAGCATCCAGAAGTGATATGCATTTGTCTGGACATGGCACTGGGCGGGAAGAATGCTATGTACCTCGACATTTCGACTAAGCACGATCGCTGAACAATATCGGGAATACTATTAGAAAAGCATCATTATACTCGATGGAATGTTTGAAATTAAGGTCCTACTTCGTGTGTCTGGAAAAAGAGCTTGCATTTTTCGCAGTTAATGCCAATCCGAATGGACCAGACCACATAAAAATTGGTAGACTCGGGCACAGTATAAAGTGGTTGGTTGGGTTTGATTTGGAAGTGGCAGACCAATGCGCACAGTATCGCGGACTTTAAGGGGTAGTTATTGTAATGAAATAAATAATTTGGGTCTCACAGGACGTGGTAGTGAAGCCCTGGTGATCTCTTGTTGTCATGGATGTTTATTTGCTTTATTTGCCATGTGAGCTCAATAAGAATCCCAAACGATGCATTTTCCATCGCCTAAGTAAATCATAGGAAATACCAAACCGGTCGGTTTGATAATAAGACCGTGATTATTTCAAACATTTTCTTGGGTGATAGAGTGCTTCCCTGTCTTTTTGTGAGCTCTGCATTCTTTTCGTTACGAATCTTCAATTTACCCACTGATATAATCACAAGCTTATATCGTAGATTAAATAAACTAATTGATTTCGGGCTCTTTCATATTGGCCCAGCTGTGACAAACCCGGCGCCTCGGTGGGATTCGAACCCACGACAATAAGGGGAAGGCTTTAGTACAGCCAGCGTTCTAGCCAACTGAGCTACGAGGCCCCACCGAAAGACGGGTCAAGTTACCTGCCCAACCTACTGCAACGTACGGAATCAACCAAATCTGATGTAGCAAACTGACTGCCCAAACAGTATTCCCTAAGTAATCCATCTAGAATCCACCAGATGACTACCAGGCTCACGTCATTAATAGATGTTTTGGCGGATTTTTAATAATTCATATTGACTCAACTGTGGAAAACTCGGCGCCTCGGTGAGATTCGAACCTGCGGCAGCAACCTTTTTGTCCAATGTTTAAAATTACAACCCATCAACTCTGTTCTGCATTTCCTAATGTGAGGTTAGCGAAATTACAGACATTTCGTGCAGTTACGGGCCCGTGCTGCCAGTTGGTCGCCGAGCGCGGCTACGAAATATACCTTTCCTCTGAGCGACAGCAAGCGTTTGATCATTAATCCAGTAATTAAATCCACTGTTGCTCTAGACTCCATTTTGTGCTCATTTTTTGGGCCTGTGGCATGACCAAAAATGAAGCGTCTTGCCACTTCTTTCGTAATTCTCACTTTTGCCGTTGTGTCCACCAAGCTTTCCTCCACATCACCCAAAAACGTTCTTCGCAGCCGTTATCAACTCGTTTCATGCACAAAAACCCTGTTTTCCCTTTATTCTTGCACCACTGTTAGGGCATCTGTCGATCATATTCCATGTTATTCCGCTCCCGAAATGACATTTGTGTTAGGTAGCAAGACTCCTTATTCCGTGCACTGTATTACTGCTTCCTTATATGCGATCGTGTACGTTTTTCACGTTCTGAGCGATACTACACATGCGATAACCAATGTTGCCCTAAGATGATTTTTCTGGTTCACCTAATGGACCAATAGAAGAAGTGTCACTGAGCGGAGTTTACTGTATGCCCGGAGTGTATACCCACAGTTGAATGCACAAACCAAGCGCGTATACGTGCAAGCCGAGTGCAGTTTGAATGGTGGAAGCTTTCACCTCCCCCTTGTTGATCCACTTGACAGCGCTGCAGTTGTCCCCTTGGCCAAGACTATCAATTTGGTTAGTGGGCAGGCGCACGCATGCACTGAATTTTGTGAATGGTAGCAATACTATGTGGCTTGTGGCACCATTTGGTTAGTCGCACTATTTAGATATCATCACCAGATTTAATAGATTTCAATTGATGCCATTTGTTTTGGTGATACCAATGGAATTGGCGATCTCCGTTATATCTAGACAATAAACCGGTATTTCTCTTCTCGATTTTTATCACCAGGTCGTGCGCAAATACCCAAACAGCAAGGATGCGCGCCAGAAGTACGACGAATGCTTCAAGAGACAGCGTCTTCGCGCCTTCGCAAAGGCCATTGCTAGTGAAGAGAAACCCTCTCCATTGGAGAAATTCGATCCATCTTCAGTTTGCATTGAGCCTAGCTATGCCGGTCCACACCTTGAGCAGAAAGACGACGGGACTTACACAGTTACGCAGAAGTTCATGGCCGAACTTCTGGATACGTTTAAGGCCCAGAAGAAGTTGCACCGACGTTACGCGATGGTGGTAATTTTCTCTCGTTTACATGTCATTCGCCTTGAAACTCAAAAGTACTTGCTGTAGGTTAATGCACACGGCACCCCCTTCGCAGTGTCTTGAGCTGTAAACAGCTGTTTGTCGGCCATGAACCTTCATGTTCTCCACATTGCTATAGGCCCCATGCGAGCGACCTCTTTAGAATTTTCACTGCCCCTTGTTTTTACCCGCTCGTTCTTTTGAGCTGGTTTTTCTTGATGCTCACTGCGGGTGTGGAAACCCATCACCAAGGGCTGTGGATGTTTGATATAATAACGATGTATAAGCATGATACAACAAACACTAGGGTAGGAGAGCGTTCTGAAGATTACCTCTGCCTTGCACTGTTTTACTTTGTAAACGTAGTACACATAATGCTGGCATTGACGGAAAAAGCCCTAAGAAGAGCCGAAATTTCCCCTATGACCAAGCATGCCATCTGCACTGTATAACGAAACATACTGAAATCAGTTCTTGCCTCAGCCAACCTCTGCCTCCTCTCAAATGTAACCCACAGCAATAGCTTCTGAGTAGAGATCGTTTGTGTGTTCTGCGGCAGGACACGAGAATAGGAACTCCCATTATACAGGTGACTGTGCTAAATTCCAGGGTACTTATTCCCGTGTCTTACTTTGAACCTAGCTGTTGGCTACTCGGTGCCTACACAGGTGACGGATAGTGAAGCCGCCTCCAGCGAAGGTTAGCTGCGAAATAAGCAGGCTCTCAGTCCTGGCAAATAGGCAGTCGCGAACCAGCAGCGACAACGCTGTCAGGGCGTGAGGGCTGAGGTCTGGCACGCCACTACCTTACGAAGTGACGCAATGCCCGATGAGGGCACTGACATGCCGACCGTAAATCACCATTAAATAAGTTTGATTGTCACCAGTGCTTTGTGGTTAGGTCCTTGAGCCGAAGTGCTAGAGACAACCTCGAACAAACAATCGGAGCCTGTACTCGGGATCCCCGAGAAACCTCATAAAAATGCCCGTCTACAGTATTGCGATCTATGCGACGTCCGCGGGAACGGACGCTCACCCCAACCCTGATCCAGTGGTGCGCGCGAGCAGTATGCGATGAACTATGCAACCAGAAGCGGACTCTTAGTATTGAATGTTGGAATGTACGAACTTTTCTTGACCCTGGTACGCAGGGTTCAACGGCGCTCAGTCTTCAATATAACGTGGATGTCAGCTGCCTGTCGGACGTCCGAATCATCGACTCAGGCGCTAGGGAAATAAGGGTCCCAGGAGTCAAGTTCAACTTCACTCTGTATCACAGTGTTTCACGTGACTTTTCTGGTAGACAAAATGTGGCTATCGTCCTCTTGGAAGAAGCAAGCCGTGTCTTGCATGGGAAACAGTCAATGACCGGATGACTTAAGTGCGACTGAAGGGTCACATTACTAATATCTCTGTCTTCTCCATGTACGTACCAACATTAGGCGCTGAATAGCGCCATAAAGAAACCTGCTTGCAGCTGGAGAAGTTAATTGAAAGATCCCTCCTTATCTACCGATTGTTGCCGGTGTCAGGAATGGCTGGCCCAGATCTGGTGACTTCAAACAGGCGCCTTATTGGCCATTTTGGGCTGGCCTCTCGATGCAAAAATTGTGGGATAGCGCTGAATTTTGCTGACCAGAACCGATTGTTTGTCACCAACACATGTTTCAATCATAACCGCAAACATCTACTGACCTTGTATTCGAGCAACGGCCATACGGAAAGTCAGATCGGCTGCATTTAAGTTGGTTCAAGGTTTCGCAGCTGCGTTCACGATAGCAGATCGGTGTGTGGTGCCGAAACTGGTCACGCACACGAGTCTGACCGTGTTTTCGTTCGCGTACGCCTGAACATTCACCTCCCGTCTACACCCAAGATACCGTGTGCGAGACGCCTTAATGTCGCATAATGTCGACAACCAGGCAGCGTCGAGATCCTGAGCCCAAATCTGGTCCCTTTTTACGACCTTAGCTGACGGCGAAGGCAGTGGCTAACGGTCATCAGTAAAGTGTATGGGACAGATAAGAAGAATCTTGCATTCACCCAGCGGCGATACGCTGACTGGACCGGCAGAAGAACCCTGCAGTTGTCTGCCTAGAAGGCTTAGTCCAGGTCACGCAACGATGCGTCCTTCTGCTGTCACCGTAAAATGACAGCAAAGTCGGCCAGGGATGACCGCCGGAAATATTGAACTGAAATAGTGACCTCCACGGAGCAGGCCTCAAATATTAATGAAACTCGTGGACTACCAAATTATCCACAAAGTTAGTGGTAAGTCCTCTGCATTTAGTGACTGCACGCCATATCAATGACGGCTTTATTGCTGACAACTCTGTTAAGGTCGGTCGTTAACGTGAGCACTTCGAGCATCTCAACTTTGATGAGCAACTCATCACATCCTCGCTCTCCGCAGCGGAGTTTTATCTTTCTCCAGACTGCAGTGTTGTGTGACCCCTCTTCTGAGTGAGAAGTTACCGGCGCAATACGGGACCGCACAACAATAAGGCGCCCGGAGAGTATGGCATTCTCACTGAAATCTACAAGTCTTGTGTCGACACTTGCGCCCTGGCTCCATGAGGTGATTGAGCAAGCGTAGAGAGACGAGGTAGTTCCTGACGACTGGGACTCGGACGTCATTGTGCCTGCCTCTAAGAGGGGTGATAAGACAAAGTGCATTAGCCCCATCGATGTTGCTGCGAAGGTCTTAGCTGTTGTCCTCCGACAATTTCGGTCTGTGCGTGATTCAAGAACGAGACCCAGCAAAGTCGAATTCCGTGCTAGGCGTGAATTAGCGCAGCAAATATTCACGCCAAGGCACATTCTAGAATTCCGCCACGGCTACTAGCAACCGACGACCGTCTGCTTTGTTCGCTTTGCTGCTGCGTTCGATTCCGTTTATCGTGAGTCACTGTGGCGCGTAATGGAATTAGATGGTGTGCCGGCCAAAATCATCGTCAGGATCAATACCTACTATCGCTCCACCACTGCGCCAGTTCCCGTCCATAACAACCTCTGCCAACTGCATGATATCCGATCTGATGTTCGACAGGGTTGGATTCTGTCGCCCATTACGTTCAGCTACGCCATTGATTGGTTTTTCGGAAGGGCTCTAGGTGGAGCTCGCACCCGGATGTTGACTGACTGATTTAGACTACGCTGACGATATCGCCTTGCTAGCCTCAAGCGTTGGTGATCTACAGTCTGTGGTGTCACGAGTGAATGGAGTCACTACTTTGCTCGGTTTATCTATAAGCGCAATGAATAGCAAATTGTTTTCGAGCATCCTCCCTGACCAGAAGAAGGCAAGTCTCGAGATTGATGGCTGTCACCTTGAGGAAATAGACAGTTTCGAATAACACAAGGCGAGACTGCTAGCAAATGAACAGACTAAAGACAGCACTGTCTCCTGGATCGGTGTTGCTCACAGGGTTTTCTCAATCCCCAAGAAGTGCCCATGGACCTGATTAGACATCTCTGTCCACGAACATCCGCACGTACTGCGCACCTGTCTGGTAAGTCCTCTACGGCTGTGAATGCTGGGCTTTGTGCGCGGGAGATGAGCAAAGACTGGAGGTATTTGACCAGCGCTGCTTGAGGACTATCCTTAGAGTGAGTTACACTGATTTTGTCTCAAATGAGACAGTTCGCACTCGCGGCGACAATATCACGAGGATATCTCATACCGTCCAAGAAAGACGATTGATGCGGTTTGGGCACATCCTCCGTCGTCCGTCTCAAGAACTCGGTCAGTGACGCCTTACATCAGTTTGCTCGAGCGTTCGATCCTGATACTGAATGTAACAGCCAAAGGCGCTTACCTGTCTTTCACTGTCTGATGCCGCGTCCCGTACTAATGGTACGCCACATTTCATGGTCACAGTAGTAATAGCGCCTTGTAATCTAGAGTTTGGGGAGCGCTGTCCTATCGGCATGAACTAGCACTCATGAACACACTTATTACGTTTCAAAACTTGCTTATGCTTTATAGAGGACCTTTGGGCGGAATTGTACTACTGGTTTGAGGGGGTCATTGTTTCACCACATCTACACACAACACTTCGGGCCACACGTAGTGCCGATTTTTATTCACAGAAGGGTCTACTGGCAGCCTTTACCACAACCCTCTTGTGGGAAAATGCGCCTTCTTAATTTTATTCAAAACCCCATGCCATTTCCGCTTCGAAGGCGCGTACTATAACTGGCATAACGCAACCGTCGATAAACATTGCGAAGTAAAGTTAAGCACTTAATTTTTAATTATTTTCGAGTAAGATGGGTGCTGGCGGCAGAAGGGACCGCATATAGGTGGCTTCGCATAAGTACCAACGCCGTAAACCGTATTCAATTCGGAAGCATATTTCCGGGTGCCAATTACGGTTTATGGCGCTCCAACCCGTTGCGTACGGTTAAAAGGGATTCATTTGTGTGGGTTTTCATGATAGTACTCTTATTGCCGAGACATTTGCTGTCGCTTGATGTTATATTGTTTTGTTATCGCCGTGCCCTGAATCTCTGAATTCTTATCTCTCTTTCAGATGATTAAGCAATTCTATGATATCCTGCGGCATCTACCAACCATGGTCGAAATCGATGTTCCCGACGTAAGTTCCGCTATCTAGTCCACTTACTTTCAAGGGAGCGAAGTTCACGGTTTGTGGCGACGTGCATGGCCAGTTCTACGATCTCGTCAATATTTTTGAGCTGAACGGTTTGCCGTCCACGAACAATCCCTACGTATGCATCATCTACTCGTTCCTTACTCTAACAACCTGTCCACTTTTCCGATAGTTGTTCAACGGTGATTTTGTAGACCGTGGTTCGTTCTCTGTGGAATGCATTTTCACTCTGATCGGCTTCAAGCTGCTATATCCAGACCACTTCTTCATGTCTCGAGGTAAGGAGTCAGTCGAATTTCTCCAATACGTTTGGTGCAGCAGTGCTGTTTGGTAATCTGGCCAGTCGCTTTCAATTCGATCCACAACTTCTATAATTTTCCCGCTCTCTTCCAATCTACAGGAGAGAACATTGGTTACCCTCATATCATATGCGGAGCTTAAAGTGAAAATCAAAGTTGGTATTTATCGGAGGGCAATATTTTGGTTTAGAAAACCAAATCACCAGTATTGAACGTATCCTAACACCCGTTTGGTAGAGATGTTTTTTTAAAGAAAGGAAGAAATGAAAAACGAAACTTCGTGTCAGATGAGTAACCTTTATTTGTAGAAGCACATAGTACGTGCCAATACAAACGATGGAATGAATAGAAAAGCCTAAGCGTATCAACTTAAAAAACCGTCTTGGATAATCCTCGGGCCAAGTATCCTACAGGGGTTAAAGTATGGCAGCCGGTTAACTGCTTTTTGATTTGCAGTGCTTCCCAGAATGATGCGTTTCATTTTTGCATTGTTTGGTACGCGTTTAATTAGGACGAAGATAGTTTTGATAAATCCTCTGGAGGAATAAAAGTTTTCACAAGGTTACATGCCAAGAGTCTGGTTAGTTACTAATGCACTGGAATGTAATTGGCAGCTGTAGTCATAAGCTTGCAACTTTCTGTTTGTAGAATCTTGCCCCCATAAAGTTTCTCTGTTTTATGGAACCCGCTGGGTTTCAAGGCGTCCTTAAAATACCGATTAAACACTGCGGTTTTCGATTTTTCCTCGATCAGTTGCCTGAATAAATGACTTCTATTGTTAACCGTAATGAGAACTTTGAGATGAGGTAGTTTTTGTAGGCTTTTACCTGTGCAGCGGGTTCCCGGACATTCGTTTTTCAGTAAACGACTGTTTGGGTCATATTTGTAAGCTCACCTGTACCTGATACCTCATAGTTGACAGAAACGAACATCCACACCGAAGTCCTGCGATCATATGAACAAACGCGTTTTCTTTTCGAGAAGGGATTTTCTGGGAGTATTTTGCTTATGAATGCCCATGCCCTTCACCCTTCTCCCACCCAGAGTGTGGGGGTGGGGGGGGGGGTGAACGTAGTCATTTCACCCATTCATCCACTTCCTTAACCGATAACAGCAATTGGTCCGCTGCAAACGAAACAATACCCTCTCTGTTTATTTTTACAACCGTTTTCGTTTTCTTTATTTGGTTCTAGGTCTTATTCTGCTACAATATGTGCGCCATATAAATACCAAAATATTTCTAAAACGGATAACACTATGCTCGTTCTGGTCCTAAATTGCATATCAGTAGCAAGTAAACCACGTAAATGACGTCCCAACATATACTCGAAAATTCGAATTGCCATTTCACGGTGGTTCATTTCGCACCATCATGTATGAGTTGCATCGACGTTCCGTTACTCGCTACCTAGTATTTCAACTGTCCCCAAGTCGTATTTTCAGTTTGGAAGTATATCCATTGCTGACCCTGTTTCTGAGTTTTTCTCCAAGGAGGTGTTCTTCAGAAAGCTTTCTGAAGACTTGTTTTCGCTCTAAAACCTGCGACTTATTTTTAGGCAACCACGAGTCCGAGAACATGAACCAAATGTATGGTTTTGAGGGTGAAGTGAAGTCAAAGTACAACGCTGAGATGGCAGAAGTCTTTACGGAGGTTTTCAATTGGCTCCCACTTTGTCACCTGATAAACTCGAGAATACTGGTAGGTTAAAAGCCATTTTGGAAGTAAGCAACTGCATACCGTTTCCAAATTGTAGTATACGTTTGATCCCTATCCTTTTAAAATTGGGTAACAGTTTAGTCGCTGAAAGGGTGCCCATAGTCAGTGGTTGAGAGCTTGTATTTTACAAGTGTACATTTGCCATCGCACAGCACTTCGGCAAGAATGGCCTGACAAAGACGCTCATTTCATGCATGACAGCTACGTAAATGTTACCCAGCATACCGTTTGCGAGGACTCGAGTTCCGAGCTTCAATTGAATGTACTTATTCGCCTTTACTATCAGGCCACATAGGTAAACATTATTCGGTAGGATGTGGGAATATCAGTTCCCCGTATTACAGATGGCCCCGCGCCAAATTCCCGGGGTGGGGGTCAAGCTTAGGGTTAGTGCCAGGGCTAGATTTAGAACATGGGCATATTTTTTTTGGTACTGCTGACGATTAAAATTGACTTTCCTTTTCACGATGCAGGTTGTCACTCGAACATCCGATCCTTTCACAGCAAGTTATTTGATTGCAACGGTGCTCCAGGTATGGGGTTCAGAAAGACGGGAGTAGGAACACCCCCCAGCCCGTCATACATGTGGCCTTGCGCTAAATCCGCTGAAGGATACCAATTCCCTAACATTAGCCTTAACCTTTGTCCCCCTCGAATTTAGCACAAGATCGCCTCTGTTAAGGGTGGGAGGAGGAGGTGTTTTTATTCTCGTATTCTACCCTGGGTACACGTGCTGACACGTAGTTTAGCCCTAAAGCCTCGATGATAAATGTTCGTAGTCTCTTTGGTTCCAGTGTAGAACCATTTGAGAACTGTATCCAAAAACTCAATAAGCCACCATTTATTCAGTGACATCGTGCTCTGAACGCCACTAATTAGTCGACAGCTTCAATGTTTACTGAAGTATTCGATCGACCCCTTCTTTGTCACCGAGAATAATAGTAAGTTGAAAGTTATCTTGGAGTTTCCTTACCAACCCTGTGTCAACGCCCCTACGCGCCCAACCTGGAAATTCCCGATTTTGCCACGTCTACATTGACCAGCAGACCTCTGTTCGTCCCCCGCTAATGTATTAGGAGTCACAAGACAGAGGTTTTCATGCAGTCCAAGCCTGATTCCTTCTTTTTGACGCAACTTTGTGCCACTTCTAAATTGTGCGCACTTACACTAAACATGCGATCTCTATCCTCTCGAAATGAAGTGGCAGTTAAGTCGCCGCATACACTTGCATCGATTTGCAGCAGTGAAAACAGTTAGATGAAGCCGAGTTCTTAGCTGTGCCCTCGGTCCATGCCGGATTCACGGGCGTAACCTGCGACGTTCGTTTTGCTGCCGTTTTTGATGGACTGCCAGACACGGTCAGCCGCTCTTCTGACAGACAGACAATGCTGATGCCAAAGCTACGAAGGGTGCTCTCTCTGTCAGCGCTTGAGTGCCCGTCTTGCACGAATGCGCATTTTCTACCTCACAACTCTAAGCCTGCCTAAGCCTTATTTTCGGACTGAGTACTGTGCATGGTTCTGACATTGTACATCTGAGTACGTAGTCTTCTTTCCGGTCACAGGCGATCTGTGGCTTGTATTTGCTGGATCTGGGTAGCTATTCGCCCTGATTGGCCTCTATCTAGTCTCCCCCAAATGTTGGTTGTTGCCATGGGCCAAGGAGGGACCACATTGGCTAATGGCATGGTTTGCGCGAGGTATGTGAGGTTTCTGTGAGCCCTTAACTGTTGCCGCGTGCACTTGCGACACACGGAGACGGAATCCCGCGTGCCACGCCAAGCATCGCGAGGGGAGGCCGATCGTTTGAGCATACAGGCATATCTCTTGTCTTTTTTTAACAAATCAGAACATTATTGGAGAGCATCAAAAGGTAGAAGCAAAAATGCATAATTCAACACAGTGCCAGATTGACGGCTGTATGGCAGAAGGTGGGATTGGACGTTGAACCTGATACACCATTTTGCTGCTCCTGCTTGAAGGCTATTCAGTGGGAGGAGACCAGAAAAGAAGGGGAAGCAGGCATCACCAATGTTTTGGAGAAAGGTGTTTAATTTCTAGAAATTTCAAGTCATACAGCAGTGTGAGAGATGACGCAGCCTAAGACCACCCGTACTGTGCCTTACCTGGGGGATTATTTCAGGGAGGGGGGCAGTGGAATATTTATAAAACAATGCCGCCGTTTGTTCTTTTGATTAGGTCATGCACGGAGGCCTTTTCAGCAAGGAGGATGTAAAACTTCAAGACCTGAAGACCATCGATCGAAATCGTCAACCGCCAGACAGCGGACTCATGTGTGAATTGCTGTGGTCCGACCCCATGGATGGCAAAGGAAGGGCCCCGTCTAAACGGGGTGTCGGATGCCAGTTTGGTCCAGATGTCACGGAGGATTTCTGCAAACGCAACGGTCTGGATATGATTATCCGAAGCCACGAAGTAAGGGCCACGTTGTAATCCTCGTTCGCCTTTCTATTATCGCATGCTTAGTGTAATTACCTTAGTTGCAGTTCCCTATGGTAGTCCCAGCGTCAATTTATTTTTACTCGCTCCGGATTTTTTTTTCCAGAAAAAAGCTGATACTGCAGTTCATTTTCACCATCGACATCTTCTACAACGTACTAGGCAAAACTACCACCGGCATCTTATTTCGGCACTCTTTAAATTACCAGGTGTTTTTGGCAGGTGTGAATAATTCATTTGACCGAGTTGTGATGGGATCCGGTGTGCATTCCAACCCAGGACAGCACGGGCAGGGCCTAGGCGCAGCCAACGACCGAACCACCTAGCTGCGAGGCCCAACCGACAGCCGTGAGTTTAAGTAAGACTGGTAGTCATCTGGTGGATTTCAAATTGACTGCCTAGGAAATCCTGCTTAGTTAGTCAGCTTGCTGTATCAGTATTGGTGGATCCCATACACTGCAGTAGGCTGGGCGGATAAATTAACTATTAAACTCACAGCTCCTAGATTGGTCTCGTAGCTCAGATGGTTAGGATGTGGATTGTATTCAAACCTTGGCCTTACTGTCGTGGGTTCGAATTCCACCGAGGCCGTCGAGTTTTTCACAACTGGGTTGGACGAACTCTTGTAATTATCGACCCAGGGGAATTAGAATCTTAAAGCCTTTTGTTACCAATTTCTTCCCTCATACTACTCAATGGCAACTATCCCACCTTGCAGACTGAAATGACATCTCTAGCTTGATGCTTTCAAGCGAAGGACTTTCTAGATGAAGCTGCTTTAAAATTTCATGTCTGTAAGAGGAATTTGTGTAGTCCTGTTCTGCCTCCCAACCAGTAGCCTGAATTTTTTGCGCTTTGACGATTTGTTTCTCGGACACGGAGTGTTAAAAGTCCATTTTGTCTTCTGACTAAAATCCTTTTTATCCCGCCTCTCCCCATGAAGGTGAAAAACGAGGGCTATGAAGTAGCTCACAACGGCCGCTGCATAACTGTGTTTTCAGCGCCGAACTACTGTGACACCATGCGTAACCGTGGAGCTTTCATTGTGTTCCGGGGATCCAAAAAACCGGGCGAAATGAAACCCGAGTTCACAAGCTTCAAGGAGGTACCTCACCCACAGGTCAGGCCCATGGCCTATGCCAACTCGCTGCTCTCTTTACTGGTGTAGTTGAGCCTCTCTGGAGTGATGCATTAGCGGCGCAACTTGCCGGTTTAGCCGCCCTCTCTGCCTCCTCCCCTCCTTCCTGTTAGAACACTGTTTCCACCAACCCGCTGACGCCGAACCACCACCACCACCACCACCACCACCACCACCACCACCACCACCAAAGACAACCAGTTCGCCTTTTCGTCCTTTTTTACCTCCGTCCACCCTCCATGTATTTGGAAAACAGGGCCGGTGGAGCAGAGGGCCATACGTGCAAGCGTCTTGCTGTCTGCTGGAGGCTCGCAGCTGCCTTGGTGGCGACAGCCAATTGTGCCAGTGGATGGTGGGTCTGTAGTTGCCTTTCAATACAACCGCACCTTTTACTCTTGTTCCGTTGGTTTTGTACATATATTCCCGCACGTGTACATCAAGGAAAATGTGTCGTGGATAAGACTTTCGTTCTTTCACTTCATCCTGATGGTGCGGGACTTTAGAAACTGAAGTTACCGCCGCTGGCATTTGTAAGGACTCTTTGGTGACTTTTGTTTCAACACATTGCACATTATTCCGGCTTACCAGATTGGCATTTTACGCTGGAAATACTTGGTTTTCCTAAGTTCTGCACCTGATAATAACGGTTAAAGGGTTATGGCCGAGGACGGTGGTTTTGCATACCTCCGGCTGTGAGCCTTATAATCACAGTCACCCGATTTCAGCCAAAGAGCGAGGTCGAAACTGTCTGAGCAAGACATAGTAACCGACGAGCGAATTGGCACAAGGTTGGCGCACGGGATAGGTCGGCCGAAAGCGACTCCTCCCATAATCCTTGGCGGTATTGGACCTAGGTAATCGAAGACCAATAACGAATGCCCTGCTCAGTCCGAACGTCCATCAGTTTACTTTAGCAATGGAGTTGCTGGTTGTGTTTAGGCTCGAGGCTCTCGGTCGGGGCCTAGTGACTCAAATGGTTGTAGCGTTGGCTGTACTGAAGCTCTGTTCTGGCTGCAGTTTGTTCAAAGCCCACCGAGTCCGACTAGCCTTTAGGATGGAGTCGGTGGGTTGTCGCAGTATTTCGTATCTGCTGAATTCAACTGGAATGTCAACCGGTTTTTATTCCGTGAGACTGGTTCACTGACCCGAAAACTAGGCAAGGCGTTTTTGTTCGATATCCCACTGATCGAAGGTCATACACTCATACTTCGATCGCCCCCCCCACACACACACACTGGTGGCGTCGACTGGCTGAGACTCGGATTAGCAGACGACCAGACAGTCACGTTTTATCTCTCTAGGTCAATCGTTGATTGAACAGTTTGCCTTGTCATATAACTATGCAATGACCGTACGCAGTTGAATGAGAGGTCTCGAAATTTAGGACGTCAGTAAATTCTGCATGCTTTGTCGCCTTTGCCTTATTCGAATATTCCACCGTTCGAAGGTCATGCACTCTCACTGCGACCGCTCCCACACACACACACACTGGTGGCATTGGCTGAGACTCGTATTAGCAGACGACCAGACAGGTAGGACCGCATTTGTATCACGTGCCACAGGGCGGATGGACTGGCACGGAAGAGCCTTGAACTCGCCCTCGTGAACCGTTTAAGGCGGCAGACCACACAGGCAGTCTCTCTGTCAGGACAATCAGCGCGCGCCACTGCCTCACCAGAGGCCAGTGCTGCCTCGGAGAGCAGGTCAGAGCGCTGTACGGAGTAAACTGCCGTCGTCTTCAAGATGTATCCGTGTTCCCGTTGGGCTAGTCAGATGGCCAGCCGCTTGTCCACTTTATTACTGTGGGTAAGCTTACTGGAAGTGTACCCGAGTGAGGAGGGTTGGACGTCTTTTCGCCCTCCCCACTGCAGAATTAACTATCAGTCAGGCTGGCTGGACGGGCCGGCTGTATTGATTCTTTTCAGAGATTGCGGGAGGGTAGTCACGCTCGTGGGTGTTCTACGGTCTGGCCAACTTGAGAGATTCTGTGATTGTCTAGGCCAACACCGATTGTGTTGCATATGTTGTCGCAGGTGTTCTCGTGACTGCGCGAAGCACCAACAGTCCATGCAGAGCAGGTGGAAGCGCAACAAATAAATGTGAAGAAAATGTTATCAAGGGTTGGGCAAATGCCTCACCACCGATTACGAAACAGTCATCGTCCGTATCTTCCCTAATGACAAAATAAACGTGAGGCGACTGAGCTGCACTCTGCCGAATCCCTGATCCGAATCGGGGCCGTGCCAGTCAAGGGTTCGCACTGCAGGCCACTTGAGGCACGAAACATGACGTCCGCGATGCATGCATTTCCCCCAAAAGGGAACAGGTTATTGGAAGTTGGGCAGTCGCCAACAAGTGAAGACCACAGATGACCCCATCAGCTACTGTCTCAGCAGCTTAAGCCATAATGAGACCCTGGCCACTGCGCCCATCAGGTCTAGTTCCTAATAGGAAGAGTAGAAGCGGGCCGCCACCCCAGAGGATATTGTATTTTGTGCAGAACTATCATAGAAGATATTGGTAGCAGTTGGCAGTCGGACGAGAGCACACCTGACGCCGCGAGACCAGATTCTATAAATTGCAGTAGGCTGGGCGGATAACTTGACCCCAGTGTGATTAAACTCACTGCTCACAGTGGGGCCTCGTAGCTCAGGCAGCTAGGCGCGTTGGATGTACTAAAGCCTTGCCCTTGCTGTCGTGGGTTCGAATCCCACCGAGGTCGCCGAGTTTTCACATTTGGGTGAAAATCGAAAATCTATAGGATCATTTCGGTGCACCTCAAACGCTGTGTATTCTAATGACTTGTCTTGTGGCAGTCTGCCTCCGCGATCGCTAGCTCGCCGACTTACTCATTTCGCCTTTCCATCTGCTTGAAGTCCTATTCGCCGCTGGGGCCGCTTACGACCTCGCACCAGTGCGCTAGGGCTCGAAGCCAGTCAGCACTGCGCCCTAGGTGATTGGCTGCAGCCGTCTACAGTTGAGACAAAGGTATGCGCGCTCGGTGTCGCGGCCCAACAACCTTAACGTCACACACTTCTCTGGTGAGAATACTAGGTGCAATTGCTTGCGGTGCTGTCATAGAGGCCATTCCGAGAGAGCGGGCCATTACAGCTTGTTTCTCTCGGTCCTGCAGGTACTTCAAAATACCACGCGGAGTTGCCCCCACCAGTTCACAACGCGTCAGATTTATTACAATGGGGAACGCGCTGGCTTACTGTGAGGATGGATTCCCCAGTGTCGGCTTCCAGTTTCCCCCCTGTGCAACAGTCGACCACCTGTAGCTTCTGGGGTGATGCGTGTACTCAAAGCGCCACACAGTAATCACGGCTCAGTCCCGAAGATGGAAAACACCAGTAGGCGTAGTGTATTCTGTACAGAAGCCTGGTGACTGTCAGAGTCTCCCGACGTGGGGCCAGCCGTGGGCCCGCGCACGTCCGTGCCCTGGGGGTGATGTGGGGGAGGGTGAATAAGCGTCATGTGAGCGTCAGTCAGTCAGTGCCAGCTTGGGGTCAGTTGACTGGGTGATAGTGGAATTTGTGGGCGCCTGTGATGCGCAACCCCCTCGGGACTGAATGTACTCTTCTTGCTCCCGGAGACGTAATCGTATGCAGTGCGTGACCGATCTCATGAAATGTTAGCAAAAATTCTGGAATGCGCTACCGATTAGGAAGGATTACTTAAGTGGGGTTGTTATACTGATCATCATGCAGCATAACCCTATAACATTTCGGACTCGCCAGGATGTCGGCTTTCGAAGGCACTTCTTTTTGACCTCCTGCAGAAACCACACTCGGTAAAAATGACTACTTGTTTAGCGTGCATTTTTCTTGTGGATTTTCGATGGTCTTATAAATTCAGATATATTTTAGAGAAAACATGCACAAAATATGCTTTCTTTTGCTTATTTGGTAGAAAATAACATTATCTTCATATTTTATGCCCGAAAAAAGTGTGTATTTAGGTTTTGAAAAAGTTTCTAATTATGAGATTTTTAAGACCGTGCGATGTCCATGTGTGCGAGACCGCACATGTCCTCTTACTAATGCTCCTCATGAAATGTACAACACAGTCCGGATCCATTGCAAAATTTCATGAAATCTAGCTGGTATCATCTTAAAGACGTAGAGGAACATATGATTTTCCTTACGCGGAAGGCATGCACCTTGTAGACTGAAATTGCTAAACGCTGATGCAATGGCATTTCAGACTGAAAATTATTCGGGAATCGGGGAACTTTTTTAAAACCTAAATATACACTTTCTTCGGACATAAAATATGAAGATAATGTGATTTTCCACGCAATCTGTAAAATAAAACATATTTTGTGCATGTTTTCTCTAAAATATATTTGAATTTATAAGACCTTTCGAAAATCATTGTGAAAAGTGCATGCTACTTAAGTAGTCATTTTTACTGACTGTGGCTTCTGTATGAGGTCGAAAAGAAGTTCATTCAATAGTCAACATCCTGTGGAGTCCGAAATACTATAGGATCATATCGCATGCTAATCAGTATTAGAGTCCGACCTAGGTAATCCTTCCTAATCGAAATCGCATTTCAGAATTTCGGCCAACATTTCGTGGGATCGGTCACGCACTGTAATTCGTAGGGCGGCGTGAGGAAGGACTACTTAAGTGGGGTTGTTATACTGATTATCATGCAGCATAACTCTATAACATTTCGGAATCGCCAGGATGTCGGCTTTTGAATGCATTTCTTTTTGGCCTCCTGCAGAAACCGAACTCAGTAAAAAATGACTACTTTTGTAGCATGCATTTTTCCTGTGGACTTTCGATGTCCCACAAATTTAAATACATTTTAAAGAAAACATGTACAAAAGTATGCTTTCTTTTGCTTATTTGGAAGGAAATCACACTATCTTCATATTTTATGCCCGAAAAAAGTGTGCATTTAGGTTTTGAACAAGTTTCTAATTATGAGATTTTTAAGACCTTTCGATGTCCATGCATGCAAGACCGCACATGTCCGTTTATCAATGCTCATGAAATGTACAATACAGTCCGGATCCA